GGTTAGTTACACTATCTCTAGTAAGGTTAGTTACACTATCTCTAGTAAGGTTAGTTACACTATCTCTAGTAAGGTTAGTTACACTGTCTCTTGTAAGGTTAGTTACACTGTCTCTTGAAAGCTTACCTCCATTTCCATCATCTGTTTTTTTCCATGTATCATTGCACCCAAAAGAAGATGAATTGATAAAAAGACCAACTGGTTTGACACCTTTCTCATCCCAATTGGATTGTTCACAAAGTTCTTTTTGTGGAAACTCTTTACTTTTCATTAGAAGATCCTAAGAAATAGATAAAAAAACTCATTATGATAAGAAAACTCAATATGAAAAAAAATTGAATAAAAAAATACAACATAAAAGTACTTTCATGTAGAAGAGATGGACATACGTAAAATAATACCTCTCCTTCAGCTGAGCCTTTAGGTAACTGTAACTTGAAATCTTGATTGGTCCATTGATACAGGTTTAATGCATTGTGGGCCTATACAATGAAATTAAAACATTTTCACAAAGCCATTCTGAGTCTATAAAACTCAAAAAAAACAAAGAACTCTCAAGAAAGATTCATACATAAACTAATACAACAGGAATCCTACATGTAAAAACATGACCAGAGACCAAAGTAACAATAAAAGTTTTTGTACAGCTTCTACATACTTCAACAATTCCTTTTTCAGCTGCTTTTCGAATGTATTCCATCCCTATTTGTTCATTTCTTTCCAATCCACCAGTGCCTTGAAGGTAGAAACATCCCAGATTGTAAGAAGCACACCCATGGCCAGCTGCAGCAGCTTGCTTGTAATGGTAAGCTGCCTAAGAAGTGAAAAGGTTTTCTTTAAGAAATGAAAATAAGAAACACTTTAAAAACTTCAACATTCCATATAGTGCTAACTTATTTTAAAATCTTGAAAAAATCAAAACCTCATCGGCTTTAATGAGTTATGCTATCACACACACACAAAACTCTTTCGGCACTTATTATAATTATTCTTTTGTATAAATTCATTACAGTGCTTCTCTTGTATATATAACTTAGTTTTGATCTTTACCACAAGTTTAGAATAAATATCATTTGTCCATTTTTATTCCTTGCTTTATAATGTTGTCATAATAATAATATATGATATGTCATTATATTATGTTTTGGGGTTCTTACCAAAAATCTTTTTTTTTTTCTGAAATAAAGAAACATTAAAATTTACAATAAAGCTAAATCAATTAAAAAGACTTTGTACAAATACCAAATTTCTTACCTTTGTGTAGTTAACAGACGTTCCTCTCCCTGTTTCATAGCACACACCAAGATTAAAATGGGCCTTGCTGAAACCAAGAGCAGCTGCACGCTGGAAATGCTTCACTGCTTTCCTCGGATGTTTGGTAGATAACTGCAAGGCCAGCATGTGTTCTACATGAGCTGTATAAGTGGCAGCAGCACACTGAAGCTCATCCTCTAAAGACCTGTTACATGTCTGTGAAGTTAAAAAAATTTTAATTTTAATATACTCAAGTTTTCTATTACAATCATTGTGAAGACCATAAAACTGTAATAGTTGTCTCAAGATTTGAATGATTTAGTTTTTATATCAGTATTTTATTACAAATTTAATGTTTTTCCTTTTTTCTCATAAATCCTTAAATAAAAATAACGAAGCTAATGAAACAGATATTTTCTTCACTAATGAACCTGTTAACTTCACCCACTGCTAGCACATTTAGAAGATACTAAAATGCATTCTGTCCATCCAAAGAAATATTTAAATGATGTACATCAAGACTGTCATGCCAGATTTATTTCAAATTAACAACAAAGTTAAGTTGTGAATGTGTCTTAAGATCTCCATATCAGACTTCTTTCAACTTACAACCAAAGCTACAAGATTAAAATACACAAAATAAACTGTTCTGTCAATGCAAACATAAGTTAACAAAAAACAAGACTATAAAATACACAACTGACTACAGTTTCTGTTAAGTAGAAATTAAAAATACACAATAAAAAAATTCCAATGGTGATTACAGAATTTAAAAAACAAAAGATTAAGACACACAAAAAGAATAAAAACAAAATATAAAATAGTTTATGATTCAAAAATATACACACATATACTGTTTTACATACAGTCACTTGCAAAATGTAGTCTAAGCTCATTACATTACTATGTAGTCCACACCATGAAAATAAAATAAATTTACTTGACTTCTATCTGTAGCTGAGGTTTCTTCAGAAATTGGTTTGTTCTCAGCTGTGTAGGGTTGGACTGATATTTTGTCTGGAAGAACTGTTTTCTTACTGCCACTGGGCATAGCAGACACAAAGTGAGGCAAAAACGATGACAACTTTGTACACAAATGACGAGATATACAATTTTCCACACCATGTCTAGCTGGAACATGTTCTTCAGTTCTTGGACACAAGTGAAGTTGAAGGTTAAGACCAGCAACAACTGCAGTACCCTGAATTTATAAAAACACAAACTTGTTTCTTATTTACAATACTGATATATATAAAACAAATGTTGCACAAGTTAGAAACTACAAACTTGGAAGTTACTTCCTTATAAAAAATAAATTATAGTTATATAACTATATTTCATTATGAAATGAAGCACATTAATTACATTTCATAATAAAATCCATACCAAGGTTAGCTGAATATAAACACATCCACACATGGAAGCTCTGGTAAGAATCATTTAACTTGATAAAACTTAAAAGAAATGCATGGCATAGTTAAAAAACTGAAAGAGTAAAAAACATGAAAATCATTTAACAATGAAAACATAAAGGTTGATAAACCATATTAAATCAGATTCTGAAACTTACATGCATTAACCATACCAAGCCCAATCTCGGGGCTTTAATTTATTTACTGGATATAGAGAAGATGGTATATTACTTAATCATGATGTTCTTGACTAACACACTAATTTCTTTCTGATAAAAACCATACATTAATAATTCAATAACAAAATTTTGAAAAGATATCCCAAATGAATGCTAAGCTAGAAACTGAGATGAGGAAAGTAAGAAACAAAGTATGAAATCAGTGACAAAGTACCAAAACTAGTATCAATTATGGACATGGAGAAAGAAAAACACAGAAAGCAGCAGCCATGAAACTCCAAATTTCTTCCAATTAAGAAGTAATCTTTTCTGTGATCAAACTTATAATTCATTCACTGGTAAATATAAGAGCAAAAACAAAAATCAAAGACAGAGTAGCAAAGGAGCTAGGCCTAAACGCCATTAAAGTACAAAGATCAAGACTGATGGAGTTGGTCTCAAAATACTGCAGACAGGCAACATCATAACATGAAATATAAAACACCAGAAGATATGGAAGAGAAAGTCTTTAACAGCTGAAATAATCAGTAAAATATAGTAGACTAAAAGAAAAAACTGTAGTATATAAACAATTATCTAATTCCTATATCAAAGTTTTTACAATTGTTTTTTTTAACAATCTGCATAAAATACTACAATTCCAACACAATCACATATTTTTAGTTAAACAATAAGCAAAATAATAATTTATCTAATTCTGTTTTTACAAAATTAAACTAAAGCTCTGACCTGTTCTTTATGAACAGATTTTTGATTACACAATGCAATCCTAACTGAAATTACTGACAGACTATCAGGCAATTTTTAACTTACCACCCAGCCAACAGTTTCCAATAAATACGAAGTAGCTTTGGGGCAGAATGTGTATCTGTCTTTGTAAGTCTCTCTCTTGTCACCATCTTGGTGTTGCTTGTGTGATTTGTTGGCTAAACCCAGAGCAGTCTCTTTTCTACATATATACAAAAACACGTAAGCTAATGATACATAAGAAATTTGGCAGCATAAAAAAATAAGCTTATTTTATCATGGTGCAAGCATGCCAGAATAATGAAAGCCCAATGTTTCTATATTCACATATATGAGATTACTTAAAAACTATGGGTGGATTTCTTGAAATTCATGTAATATCAGATACCCTGAGTAAATGTCCATGTAATAGTTTTTATATATATTTTTTTATCTCTTTTAAAAATGAGCACTTGTCTTTAAACTGCACAGTTTCATTTTAATAAACAATTTCTTTTACTCCTGGATAGTAGTACAATACATACGGTGTTTCTGCTTGTGGTTACCATCTCACAGACTTTTATGGGGAAAAAAATTGTTTTTTTGGCAGTAACTTTTTTTTTTTATAGATAATTTGGTTACCATTTTGTTTGTTTTCAAAATATGCAATAATTTCTATTGATCTCTTTTAAATCAAATAATGAAAATATGTAATATTACTATCACTGATTTCAGTAATAATGTTTTTAGTTAAAATATATCACAATTGATTTATTTAGTTAATTATTTAAGTACATTGTTTGAATAGGATATACATCTTACTATAATAGACTATGTGTATGTCAGTATCTATGTATGTAACTAAAACTTCAGCACCATCTATTGAATGGCACCACAAACAAAAATCCTTAAAAAATTTCACACTTTGGGTATTCTAGATTCAGATAATTGGAAAAATAACTGTAGTGTGTGCAACAACCATTTCTTTATAATAAAACACAATTTTAAATAGTACTCTCCTCACAACAACACGACTTTCATTAAGACTGTACGCGAGGGTTTGATTATATCTTTACTGATGTAATTTTTAAATGTAGTACTGAAAACTGGAGTTCTAAAGAAACTATTATTTTTTTCAATAAACAGTACCACTTTTAAACATTACAGTTTATATCAGTAAAATTTATGAAAATTGTGAGCTCTGTACATTGAATCATTTTGATGTAGTGAGTTGCATAGGACTAAAGAGCACAATCTGAACACTTTTCCCATGCAGTATTTCCCCCAAAAAAATCCTTTTTTTTTTAGAAAATGTTCACTTTTTCTAAGTATTTTTCAGTGAGGTATGCATACTACGATTAGTAATTAATAGCACATCAGCCACCCGTAGGGCAGTGTTTCTGCTAATAAAAGTAATATTCAATAAATAAGGACTTGAGTTATCAGTCACCAAATGTACTCACTAAACCTAATTAAGGTTATCTGATGTCTTCTCATCAAAGGAAGTTTCTGTAACTTTCATATAGACATAATTTGACATACAATCACTTTCAAAACAAAAAAGCTCTGTGGTTTGTTCCTAACACTTCAAAGTTCTAATGAATGCATTTTGTCAATAATACAGGAGCTCCAACTATCAACTTTCGCACCATAAACTACTTCTCAAATCACTTTATTTACTCCACTGTGACATGAAAATCCTAATTCTTGCTTTAACCAATCACATTTATAGTTGTTTCTAAAGCTGTGTTTCATTAGTAAATTACTAATATAAAACATAGATAATAATGTGACACACATATGCTAATAAAACACAGATAATGACACACAGATACTAGTATAAAACACAGATAATAATGACACGCAGATACTAATATAAAACAGATAATAATGACAAGCAGATACTAATATAAAACAGATAATAATGACAAGCAGATACTAATATAGCACATAGATAATGACACACAGATACTAGTATAAAACACAGATAATAATGACACACAGATGCTAATATAAAACAGATAATAATGACAAGCAGATACTAATATAAAACATAGATAATAATGACACACAGATGCTAATATAAGACACAGATAATAATGAGACACACATATGCTAATATAAAACAGATAATAATGTGACACACATATACTAATATAAAACAGATAATAATGTGACACACATATACTAATATAAAACAGAAATAATGTGACACACATATACTAATATAAAACAGAATAATATGACATACAGATGCTAATATAGCACATAATGACATACATATACTAATATGAGACAGAATAATAATATAACACACATATACTAATATAAAACATATGACATACAGATGCTAATATAAAACATATGACATACAGATACTAATATGAGACAGATAATAATATGACATACAGATACTAATATAAGACAGATAATAACATGACACACAGATACTAATATAAGACAGATAATAACATGACACACAGATACTAATATAAAACAAATAATAGTGTAACACGCAAATATACTAACATAGCACATAGATAATAATGTGACACACATATGCTAATAAAACACAGATAATAGTATAAAACACAGATAATGACACACAGATACTAGTATAAAACACAGATACTAATATAAAACATAGATAATAATGACAAGCAGATACCAATATAAAACATAGATAATAATGACACACAGATACCAATATAAAACATAGATAATAATGACACACAGATACCAATATAAAACAGATGATAATGA